ATCCTTGTTCGCTTTAATCACACTCCACATTGAAACACTTCCATCCTGAATTGCATACAAAAATTATCACTTGGAGAACATTTTTCTCTGAAGGAAAGTTTGATGTATAACATATTTTGCTCTCTTTGAGGTGATGACGGATCTGTGACAGCAGTATGACATTTGTTGCACAATAATGTGAATGTTTTGCAGTTTGGGGAATCAGGCAAGGAAAGTCTGAAATAGATATTTCTCTTTTTGAGGAAATTACGGATTTGTGACAGAAGTGTGGCGTTTAGCCTGGTAAAACTGCAAATGTTTTGCAGTCTAAGAACTTAATCACTCACCATTCCAACAATGCATAGCTGAGGCTCCGATCCACTCCAAAGCAGACAACTCACTTTATTGCATGCCAAACCACCATCAGGAAGAGAGAACTCTATAATTTTTTCAAATACTTTCACGCTGTTCAGTTCTTTATTCACTTGGTACATGCTCCTACTCCTCCCCAGTTATCAGAACATTAAGCACTAAATAAATGTCCAAGATTTCCTCCGTTCTTTTTTCTTTCCTTATCGCATTTCCTGCCTCCCTCTTCAAGCATTTATCCAAAAATTATAACTTGCGATTTTCTCCTTTTTATGCGTTTTTGCACATATGCAAGTTGCAAAAACGCACATTGGGAAGAAGCTGTGTGTGTGTGTGTGTGTGTGTGTGTGTGTGTGTAATGTATGTGTGTGTTTGTCTGTGTGTGGCTGTGTGTTCGCACTTTTTGTCACCCACTTTCAACTCTAGAACCAGAAAAGCTAGAAGGCTGAAACTTTGGGAGCATGCGCCCATACTATGTGCGCCCCTCTTCCCTCTCCCCGTTTTAATACCATCTCCCGCGGACGCCTGGATGCCGCGTACATATGCTTTAAAAAAATATGCAATTTTTTTGGCGGCAAAGCGATCTCGGAAACCAGACAAGGTAGGGGCTGAAACTTTGCAGGGATATTCCCTGTGCATGTGTTAGCTAAGGGTTTCAAATTCAGCCTCTAGGTATGCGTGGTACTTATGTAAGAGCGTATGAAAGTTTTGGAAGAAAAGTTGCTAACCCGGGATCCAGGAAAGCTAGAAAGCTGAAATTCTTGGCGAATGTCCCCTGTCCATGTACAACTAAAAATATTTCAAATTCAGCTCTCAGGTATGCGTGTTTCTTACGTACGAGCACATGAAAGACTTGGCGGGAGAATTGCCAGAAAAGCTGGAAGGGTGAAATT